AACTGTTTACCTTTAATACAGTACAGTCTATATTTACCTGTTTGGGGTGGTGATGATGCATGTGAATACGAGCTATCTCTATACTGTCCTTCACATCCATGCTGTTAACGCTGCCAGTAGATCCCGCCTTTTTCAGTTTGGACCCGGGTCTTTTCAGAATGCCCTTGACCCCTGAGTCGTCCTCCTTAGCCTCACTGCGGTTCCTCACCACTAGGTCTGCATCGTCCTTCGCCTTCTTCGTTACCGTGGCAACAGGAGGAGGAGGAGCGTGCTCTTTTTTCTCCGTCACTCCTGCTATCAGTGGTTTATTAGGAAGAGGTTGCACATTCATTTTACCATAATTGTTCATATTGACACCCCCGTTCACAACATTGGCTGTAAACTTGACCTGTGTGACCTGCTTGACCTGTGGTCGGTCCCCTGAGGTGGTATTGAAGAAGACTTGAGGTTGTTTGGGAACTATTTCCACTCTTTGCACGCCGCCGTTTTTTCCGCCCTCCGTCTTGTCGTCTGCTATGGCATCAGACGGTGGGTGTGGACTGTCCTCGTTGGCAGAGGGAGGGGGGATCACATTGTACTTGACCACCTTCTGGATCCTCACAGCACTCACAGGACGTGGGACCCGACTGGGCTTCGTCTCCTGAACAGGGGCCGCCACTGTCTCCCTGTCGGGGTTCACCGATCTGTCAGCGTTATCCGGCGCATTTGTGACAGTGTGTAGGAATTCCATAGGTTTGGCAGGACCAGTGTCTGGTATTCTGTTGCCATTGGATTGAGCACTTTTGGGATTTTCTGAGGTATACAAGTAACCATTAGTGTACCCTCTACTGACATCACTCGCATTCCGTGGTGGATTGTTCATGTTCACACCCTGAGAGTCACTGTAACCATTTACATTCTGGTTTTGGGAGCCGGCTGTACCGTCCCAGGTGCCATTTCTGTCCTCCCTCCCTCCATTGTTTGGTGGGTAATTTCGCTGGGGATTCCTGTCCTGATATGCAGTTGTTGAGGTTACAGCTGTCATGGATGGCCTTGAACTATAAGGATTACTGTTGGTCATGTGAGCGTTTGACACAGATGAATGCTGGGAATCCACAGGGGACGGTGTGGACCACGCACGGAGTTGAACTTTTGGTCTGTTTTTAACTTCTGTGTTTTGAGACACAGTCTTTTGCACTTCTGGTCTGGGGATTCCATTCGATGGAATATTATTATTATTGACCCATGTTTGTTCTACATTGTAGGAGTCAATTTTCTCATTTCTGTCTGGGTATTCAACTCCGTTACTTTGTCCATAAGCACTGTTCAAATGAAAAGAAATGTCTCGGACACTCTGATGTGTGTGAACATTGTCCTGCAATGAGGATTTTGAATTGATCACTTGCTCATTCTTTAAGAGATTATTTTGCTGTGGCAAGCTTGTCGGAACTCCTTCGGTGAAATTCTGAGATTCGTCCAAACTATCGGCACTGGACAGACTCACGCTGTCATCTGCAACATATTCTCCATGGTCAATCTCTTTCTGCACTTCTTCGTTAAATTCATTGAAAGCTCTTCTCTGCTGATCGATCAACTGCTGCTGCTGTTGTTCCAATTTCTGCTCAAACAAACTCTTGCTGCTGTTCAGGTTTCTCAAGCTCCTGTTGTGCAGTTTATCCTGTGAACTGTTGATCCTAGGCCTGTCGTTCTGGATAACGGGGGAGTGGAAGTGAGAGTATTTATTGAAGTAGGGTCGATTGAGGGCCTCGGTGTAGGTCTGTCGAGGACTGGTGTGACTGCCTGTGGAGCCTGCACTGTTCTGTCTCTGTACACCAGAATTTCCTCTGACCAGTCTCAAAGTCTCCTCCAGATTCCTGCTAGGAGATGGGGCATCTGCAAAAAAAATATATACTGAAGAAAATTCATAAGAACATATATAACTTTAAATATTATGGAAAATTCATTTAGGGTCCAAAAATTTTTATAACTGTAATGATATAAATTTCACCTTCAGTGACCCACTTTGTCAATTCAACGCACTCACAGATGAGTAGTTTGAATGTGAACTGATCTTAATTACAGTGACGTCGAATCTCGTTATCTCAAACTCTATGGGACTGGGAAAAATTTCTAGATATTTCCCATTATTCTAGTCCGAATTATCTGACATTTTCCAGACTTCATTTTTTTCTCCGATTCTGATATTTTATATGCCTGGAAAACGCCAGAACAGTCAATAACAAAAACTGGAAATCCACCGCCTACAACTGGATGCGGCATTCTCCCGTTGATTTTGGATAGTTGCAAACAGAATAAAATATCAAACTCAAAATAATCAATAGTACAATACTTTAAGTACCCACCAACATCGGTTTATGGAGTGTTTTTAAAATAAACAGTTCGGTGAAGACAATTTATCAGAGGTCTCGAGGTTTGTTTTCATTTTGTACATTTTTAAAACTTGCAAGACTTGTAAGGAAATGTTGGCATGTATTTTTGTTTCATCGATATTGGTGAGTACTAGAAGCATTATTCTACTAATAACTTTTGAGTTCAGCATTTAATTTGGTTTGCAAATATTAGCTCCAGGTTAAAGAAGACAAATTCCCAGTTTTCGTAATGGTGCCTGTTCTGACGTTTTCCTGACACATAAAATATAAAAATCATAAAAAGCATGGAAAACATCAGATATTTCGGACTACAATTATTCAGGATATCATGGGTAAAATACTCAAGCAATAAGTGGTTGAGACTTCCAAATCACTTCAACATATACATGGTATTTGAGATATTGGTGTTTGAGATACCCAGTTCAACTATATCACAAAACTGTACATTCTAAACAAAGCAAGTATGAGTGGTATCTTCAATTCTCAATTCCCTGCATGATCAAAAAGCTCTCTGACTCTTTTTCTACATACAATGTAAGACCTTCCTCCCCCAGGCAGTCTAAACGAACACTTACTTTTTCTTGCCCTGGAGTGCCTGCCACTGGGCGGCCGTGTAGGGACATGGGATCGCTGATATTTCTCTGTAGCCTCCTGCTGTTGCTCTCTCCGTTTTATTAAGATCTGCTGTCTTCTTTTTTCTTCTCTCTCTTTCTCCAATTTTCTCTTTGTGGCCTGTGCCCTGGAAAAAAAAAAACACAGTAGGTTAAAATTATTCCTTTATTATTTGAATTATATAACCTTATAAAAAAAAAAAAAAACTGCAAACCCAAAAATTGTTTCAACTTTTGCATTAACATGCTTACTATAGATATATGAGTTCAAAGACCTATATTTTAATTGATAAAAAATTAACAGATGTTTAAAAAGAACAAAAATTTTAAGCATCAAAATTCTCATTCAATCTTTTCTGAAACATGTTTTTAAAAAAATTTCAAAAATTGTCAATAATTTTCCTTTCTGAGTCATATCTTTCTCTTTTTTTTGGAGTGGGGATAAAGAAATTTTTAAACACAATTCCTACTTCCGTCTTTTGTTGGTCTCGACTGATAGCTTCTTGGCTCTGGCCACCGCGTCTCCCACTTCATCAGTCTGCAGCTGTTTTAACTGATCTATGCGTTGTTTCTCTAAGTATTGGTAGGTTTTTCTGGCATTATATTAAGGACAGAATACTTATTTATAACATGTTTGATAAGAATACAAGAATATTCCATCACCCAGGATAGAATTTTTTTTTTTTAACAAGCTGAGCATGGGGTTTTCTATGCATCTCCTGATGGCTGATATATTTAGTTTCCTTTTGTTTATATCATACCAAACAAATAAAATGCTTTACACACAGACTGATATTATTATCCTCTCACAAGGAAGTTGGAGGAGTTGTAGTAACCCATATAAAAGTAAGTTTATGGAAGGGCTTATGGAAGCATATATAAAAGTAAGTATATGGCAGCATATGTGAATGTATAATTAACGTTTTAATTTATTAGTATATAAGGCATGCATAATTAATGTTTTAATTTATTAGTATATAGGGCCTAGGGATTAATGTGCTCTTTTGTGAGGGGATTTTATATGCTTGCTGCATCCCAGTATTAATTACCCCTCCCCACCCCCTTCATTTTCCCTTCTATGATGAAGAAGTAAGAGGTTATAATATCTTGAAATTATGAGATTTTACCATCAATGCCATCTCTTTCCAATATTCCATTCTTTTCAGGAAGATTGTACTTTTTCTTTTGTTAACTGTCTTTAGAAATTGGCCATATTACATGCAGATACCATCGGTTTAATAAAAATACACATTAAGAAACAAAATTTGTAAACAAACAGGAGGTCCTTTGCTTCAAGACACATTTACAATAACAAAGTAACATTATATTACTTCCATTTTTGAAAGAACTCTGTCAGGGAGATGTGCTCGTAATAGTATATCTTAAGCATAAACCACATTCCTAGTATTTTATACTCAACTTGGACTATTCATCAAATGAACACATATATACACCAGGTCTGTATCACAGTTGCCAACTCACCCGATTTCGTCAGGTTACACCCGATTTTTCGACCCTTAACCCGATTATTTTTTCTGACCCGGCGGGTCACGCTTTTAACCCGATTTTTGCATAACAACCCGAAAATCTCCCGATTTCCAAATTTGGTTCGTAAATTAGGTTGCTCTTTTAACTTCCAGTTACAACCCAAGCTTGGATCTACGTAAACAATGCCGATGGCTATGCTCAGTGGGCTGTTTACCAGTAAATTTTGAGTGCAGACCTGTGTTAAACAATAAACTTGGAGTTGTTTTGACAAATCAAAGTTTGAAGTCAATTAAAAATGGCTTCCACAGAAGTAGATCGTTATCAGGGTCAGCAGGAGCAAATTGAACCAAGAAAAAGAGAATTAAGCGATATTTATATACAATTATATCAAATTAAGGAATTTTGGAAAACAACTTTCATAGTCTATAAAATACTGTGATCGAAGATAGTGTAGACCTACCTGTACATCTAAAACATTGCACTTGTTAATTAAATTAAATGAGATAGAAAAATTACTTCAAAACCAAAACTGGAATACTTCCAAATTTAGCACAAATTAAACTGAAAAGGCTTTCTTTTAAAAGAAAATGCATGCACAGTTAATTCAGGTCAGTACTAAATAATGAAACCTTCAAAGCTTTTAACATCTAAATTTAATCAACAACTGAACATATATTAATTTTTTTTCTTGGTAAGTTAAAGTCTTTTTTAAATAAAAGAATTCTCAAAACACAAATACTTAGATCTATAGATATTTGATTATATATAGAATTTAATCATGGTAAATATGTCGTGAATGTCGTTACGCGTTATGACCAGATTTTTTCATGTCCAAATCTGGTCATGACCAGATTTTTACATGTCAGAGGTTGGCAAGTATGGTCTGACTATTAACATTTTCTCAAAGGCAGCTATGAAAGAGGTTCTGATATTTGCCAATCTGATCTTGAGCTTAAATTTATCTGTCCATAATTGTTTTTGTTTTTTAATTCTACTTCTTTATTCATTGGGCATTGGGGTATGCATTTTCATATCACACCATGGAATGTTCATAATTATAGCGAGCGCAGCGAGCGTCGCGAAGCAAGCTCAATAGACTAACGTGTATGAACAGAGGAAATTCGGATTGAAATCTGTACATAAGTCAGCCAAATTTCTCTGTGCAACATTCCCAGAATTCCTGCACTACCCAATGTCCTTTAAGGGATTAATAAATCAAAAATAGTAAAAAAATTAAAGGAACATTGTTTCTTACTGAAATCTTAACGAAATGATTTTGCCTTACCTAATTAAATTATTCAAAAAATACCCCCATGCCATAAACACCGTCCTTCACCTTGCCCTTCTGAAATGATACAAATGACATATCATCAGAAACTTACGAATTTTGACGAAATTATATGTCGGTTGCTTCCATGAAACTTGGAAAACATGTTGCGGTGCATAGCAACATGGTGGCTAAAACATAGCAACAACTTACTTGAAAAGAACGATTTAATGCAATCTATTTTTCATAAAACTGGCGTTTGCATATCCTAAGTCAACAGAACTTTTTATCTGACGTCATACTTTCGTCACTTCAACGGTTCGGGTATTTCCGATTTAGTCGGAAACTTCCGAGAAGTTTGGAATCTCGATCCCGATGCTTGGGAAATGATTTCTTTTTATTGTTTTATTTTATTCTTTTTGCTTTCTTTTTCTTGAATGATAGACAATACATGTGTAGGTTTATGATAGTAAATAAACTGCGCTCGCCCCAACGGTCACACCGTAAAACATTAAGCCTGTAAAAAACAAAAGTGCATGAATTTATGTTTAAATACAACTTTTAAAACAGTTGACAACAATGTGTACAACATGTCTTACAAAGAATGTCCCTGATTTTTGAAAGAATATTAGTTTAATCCAAATCATTTTGCGATTTTTGTTCCTTCACCAAACGTGGAGGAAAATCGAGTTAGATCGTATACATGTCAAACAATGAAATCATTGGTGTAACTTCACTATTTTCTTATCCTTCAATTCTTCACTTGTATTCTCGGGTTCATCAATAAATTGTCAAGATTAAACATCTTCAATAAATGAAAAAAAGGATACGAATATGCACCAGCTAACATTTTAGTTTTCCTTTCATACGTAATGGATCTTCATTATCGTTCCAAGAGTTCTAGACAATTCAAATTTATCCCAAACTTCTTTTCAAACAATTAAAATCTTGGCAGTGTGGCTAAAATTACGATAATTCTAATTCAAAACTAAAAATAAATTGATTTATCTGATCAGTCAGGAATGTTGGCTCACAATGCCGCCATGTTGTTTTGGTTACAGAATGCGCAACGTCTCCATGCTCAAGTGGTATTTCCGGTTTTTGACGGCAAGAATAATTTTTTCGGATAAAAACGGTTTAACTTCATTCAATGAATGAATGAATGAATGAATGAATGAATGAATGAATGAATGAATTAATGAATAATGAAAGGAAGAAGGAAGGAAGGAAGGAAGGAAGAAAGGGGATAAACTAATTTTCTTCAAATTATTTTTGAGGGGGATGGATTCAACTTTAATTCTTAATTAAGTTGGTTTTCTTGTGTAAAGCTTCCAAACCAATTTTTTGATAAAACATGATATGTTCCGATACAGTGGAGTCGCCAATTCCGGGTCGTCTCCTATTCCGGGTCACTCGCGTGTATTTTATGCCTAGTGTTAAGATTTAAGCGCAAAAAACTTAATGAATACGCTGGTCATGAAGAACTGGTCTTTCTGTGTGTAATTAATTTCAAAATTTTGAATATCAGCTTTAAGAGAGCATCCGACAATCGAAATTCTGAAACGCACGCATTAAAGACTTGGATGTTTTTGCTGCGGTGACGGGCTACTTTCATTTTTGTTCGCTGCAGAAAGGCTGATATAAAAGTTCTAGATAAATAATAAGAGCTCGAAAGTATGGCAAATGCATTTAGTTTTATCTCAGAAATCAATCATAATGATCGCTGCTCAAATAAAATTATAATGATTATTAAATCAAACTGTAGTATAGTTTCTCCAATTGCGGGTCACGCAATCTCGTGGCATGAACATGTCAAAACTCTATGTACAAAACCAATGGACAACCATGTATTTACCTTGATTATCAAAAGTATTCTAACTGGAAAATATTTTTTCTAAAAATTAAAATCCAGTTAACCCTTCAAGTGCATTTTTTCAATAAATGAATTTAATTGTATTATTTTTCATCCTTATACATTTTTTGTCATTCTGCATACTGCAATTTGTTTTGTTGTAATTGTTTTAAAAATGATTTAAATATATTTCTGTGGTTATTTGACTTTTTTTCCAAGCTGCATGAATTGTTTTATGTTTCAACATCATAAAAATCGTGTTCCGAAACGTTCCATGAATATTACACGACCGTAAATTCACATGACCCGGAAATGGAGAAAATGATTCGTAACAGGGGAAGCTAGGCCTTGCTGAAATACCCCTGTAAATAATGTTCCCGTGTAGCTACTTTGAAAACGAAAAGGTGTTTGGATGACTCACTATTTGTTCTTTCAATACATATATTGCATAAAATATAAATTGAACAGATTTGCAAAATATCAACGAAACACCCGGGACGTGACCCGGAATTGGCGACTTCACTGTACCAAAATATCAGCGTTGACTTAAAAGAAGTTAAGTGAAGTCCATAAAATTAAAAAAAATTAGAATGAGAACTGTAAATTAAATATCAGACGTGCTGAATTTTTTGTGAAAGTTGTGTGATTGGAACTCATTCCCTACCTGCATATACCCGACTGAGTCCATGTGTAGCGGTATTGAGTAGTTCCGACTAAAAAAAAAATGATGATTGGTCGAAAATATGGAAGAATGTAGCGGTCGAGTTGAAATTTTTGGTGATGTAGTAGTAGTGTTGACCTCCCAAAAATACACTGTATGGGGGCATTTCATTGAGAATGTTTGATCTCAAGCAAAGTGGAAGTGGAAGGGGGGGGGGGGGCTAAACCAACAAAAGAGGTAAACCCAAATTTTCAATGCCTATATTATGTATAATATATTTTCAAAAAAGTGGGGGGGGGGGCTAAGCTCCCCACCCTCACCCCAGCCGCCGCTTCCGACGCCTATGAAATGTTCGAATTTTACTTGCGTATATTCGATTTTAACAAAACTTATTAATATTGTATGATTTGGAAATCGGATAAAAAATTCAAACTTAAGGTAATCTGATCATGAATCAATAAATAAAATAATGAAACAAGTAGAATAAATAAAGTTCCATATAAGTGTAAGAATCATGATACAATTTTCTTAAAATGCCTGGATACCTATAGTATTTTCATACTGAAATATGTTTGTTAATCAATTTTCAATCAGAAAAAACATGGTTGGTGTTTTTGTTCGCATTTCGAGAAAATATAATTCAGAGTTACTTATTTTCCGTATGTAATACAATATGAAAATGACATTTGAAGAAATTCCGTGGGTAAATACAAGTTACTTTAAGGAGTCAGATATATTTGAATTATTCAACGCCTGATTTTAAGAACTCGAGGATCGGACTACCTTGATTCGAAATTAAAATGCCATGCTTGGGCATGAAATTACCATGATTACTGAAGCAGGCATAATTTATGCATTTCATTTTTTCACTCATACAAAAATTAGGATTATTTAAAATGGATTTTCATATTTCCAATAACTAAGTTCAGTGAACAATTTTCAAGATAAAGAAACTTGTACTTTCTTTTCTGAATCAAATAAATAAATTTTGTAAATTTTCCTTTCTATTGCTGAACCTAATTAGTTAACACATACTTTAAATAATTTTACAATTCTTTACACCATATCTTATTTACATTTCGCGAGAAAAAAAATATTGGAGTAAATAACAGGCCTTTGCAAACGTTACTGTTACCCTTCTGGTCCGTATCCTTTTTTGAATCTATTTTTATCTCAGACCAGGAAGTAAATTACTGCGATCGCATTCCCACATCATTAAAACTGTAAGTAAGATTATATATACCACATGTATAAATTATTCTAAACAAATATTAATGAACCTTTTTATGAATTGTGAAGAAATGATTTTAGGCCTATGACATGCGTGAATTAGGCACGTGCATGCACAGGGCCTCGTCACGACTTATTTGTATTTTTTAAACTTGACCACCCCGGTTTTACTCTAAAATACACTAAGCCTGGCCTATTATAGAGGTGATCAAATTTAAAGAAGGCAAATTAAAAGTCGTGACGAGTCTTTGTGGTGCATATGCACAGTAAATATGAATTAAAACTTAGATCTTTATCTTACTGATGTCACATAATACATTCAATTTCTTTTTAATACACTTAGTCATTAATTTTAGATGGCTGAATCTAAAATGGATATTCCCCGCACAGCCCAGCACTTTTTAGAGTGTGGCATTGAAGACTGTGAAAGAAACTGTGAGTTCTATTGCAACCCGTGTCATCAAAGATTGTGCAAACAATGCAGTGATGAACATCTGAAAAGTCCAGAAAACAAAAACCATGAGGTGGTCCTTTACCAGCAACGAAAACGACAACTTCCCGTGGAGAAATGCAAGATCCACCCCAATAAAGATATAGACATGTTATGTGAAGAATGCCAAGTTCCAGTATGTTCCAAATGTGCCACTCAAAAAGAGCATCAGGGGCATGTATTTACTGATCTTGAGACAATTTATGCAGAAAAATATGCAGACTTTCAAAAGGAAACTTCCAAGATACAAGACTACTTTCTCCCTACATCACAAGATTTACAGAAAGAGATTAAAAAAGAGTCCTCAGAAATCAAACACGTCATGGACAACATCAGAACATCCATGAAGACTGAAGGTGAGACCCTGAAAAGTCTGGTGGACACAGTCATATCTGAGAACATGAAGCAGTTAGACCAGATAGAGCATTCACTGTTAGAAGATCTAAAAACCCAAGACAAGACCATGGATGATTACATTACTTATCTTAATAACCTTGCCAAAGAGCTCCACAGATGCCTGTCCTCTACAGAAACCCAGAAATTAATGTCTGAGAAGAAACCAAAGATCCGATCCATACCAGAGACAACAAAACCAGTCACACCAGGATTTACTGCTGGTCAGTACAACAAAAGTGATGTCACCAAATTACTTGGAAAAATAAACGTGCCCAACACTAAAGCAGAGAAGAGAGAAATAAGACCCATTGAAAGTGTTTACAATACAGCAATGAAACCTACACATAAACAGATGAAAGAAGACAGAAAGAAATCTGACAAGAAACAAACAATGTCTCTATCTGCCTCTGTCACCAAGGTCAGGGAGTTCAATGTACCAGGTGTTGATGAAGTATACCATGTATCACTAGATCAACCAGACAGACTCTGGATCAGTGATAGTGATGGTAATCTTGTCCAAACAGATCTACAGGGGAATGTGATACAGAAGATAAAAACCAGTGAGGGACCTGGTTACCATTCAGTCACGCAGGACAGGGGTCTGATCTTTACAGACAAAGACAATAACGTCATCAATAGGATAACACAGGATAATAATATCACTGAATTCATAAAAACTGGAGACTGGTCACCAGTCAGCATACACTCCTCCCACATCAACGGGGACTTACTGGTGGGGATGGGGAAACTTACAAAAGCTAAAGGACTGTTTAAAATGAAGAAAAATAAAGAGGAAAGTAAAATCACCAGGTACAACAAGACAGGAAAAGTACTACAGAACATAGAGAGGGATAACAAAGGACAGAGACTGTATAGTGGACCAATCTACATCACAGAAAACATCAATGGAGATATCTGTACATCAGACATTATTAAAGAGGTAGTAGTGGTGGTGAATAAATCAGGACAACACAGGTTCTCCTACACAGGTCAGAAGTCAGGGTTCAATCCCCTTGGAATCTGTACTGATGTCCTCGGTCACATCCTGGTGTGTGATGATGTCAGTGACACTGTTCACCTCCTTGATCAGGACGGTCAGTTCTTGTCTCTATTACTCACAAAACAACAAGGGGTAGAGGATCCCGTCAGTGTATGTGTGGATGATGAGAACAATCTCTATGTAGGACAACAATACACCAACACACTGACAGTGTACAAGTATCTTAAGTGATTAAGTGACTCTCATATTGTTTGTGGTATGAAATTTTAAGCTGTCAAGATAATTGTGCTAAAATTTTATAATTGACGTTTTTTAACTTTATACACATTTCAGTTCATAATTGTAATTGTCACATTTTTGAAACATTATGTTGCATCGAATCACATTTATTTACATAACCTATGTATAATGCAAAATTATAACTATTAAAATGCTTATTATAATATCACTTT